GCTCTTGCTCAGGCTGGTCTCGAACTCCTGACCTTGAGCGATCCACCTGCCTCGGCCTCCCAGAGTGCTAGGATTACAGGCATGAGCCACCGCGCCTGGCCCATGATTTAAATTTCTTTCTTAAACTACTTGTAGCATTATCTACCTACAAAATACAATTTTAAGTATATCTGTCCATTTTATAAGGTAACCTCAGTTTTGTTTCCTGGTGTGCTAAGGTAGCATTAGAAAATGATTATTGTACTTTGAAGATTATATTCAGAGAGGATATTTATTATAGCATAGTGTATATATGTGATTTTCATTTCACAGATAAATCCTAAAGCAGACTTCTTTTGTAGGTAAAAGTTAAAAAATGTCTAATGTGATTTATACTTAATATATGAACTATGTGAGAATTACAAAGTTTTAAGTGGTATGAATAAGAAAAATCTGTTTCCAAGAAAGTGGGAGGGGGTAATTATTCATTTAGAAATGAATTTTATGTTCACTTTACATATTTTGTCCTTCATTTCTTTAAAGGCCAAAGAAGCTAAACGACTAAAAGAATTCTTAGAAGACTATGATGATGATAGAGATGATCCCAAATATTATAGGTAAAGAAGCTTTGCATTATGAACTCATACTCTAACTATCGAATGTTATCTAGGAATTTTTTTCTTCAGATACTTCAAGAGTGGTACATAGCAGTCTGATCTCCCCTCCATCATCCCATCCCCATATAATTGTCTTATTTGAAGTGAGAGTTGACACTTGGTATGACTTTAAGAATGGAGGAAGCATAGTGATAATGACAAGACTGTGTTTACTTATCACACATTAATATGTAGAGAGCACACTTTCTTGAGTGTTCAGTAGATACAGACCCTTAAGATGAACTTCAGTCTATTTGCATGCAGTTTTATTTTTTTTTTTTGAGACAGAGTCTCACTCTTGTCACCTGGGCTAGAGTGCTGTGGTGTCAGTCTAGCTCACAGCAACCTCAAACTCCTGGGCTCAGGCAATCTTCCTGCCTCAGCCTCCCAAGTAGATGGGACTGTAGGCATGCGCCACCATGCCCGGCTAATTTTTTCCATATATTTTTAGTTGTCCAGGTAATATGTTTCTATTTTTAGAAACAAAGAGTGAGATGGGGTCTCACTCTTGCTCAAGCTGATCTTAAACTCCTGAGCTCAAACGATCCACCCGCCTTGGCCTCCCAGAGTGCTAGGATTACAGGCGTGAGCCACCATTCCCCGCAGGCATGCAGCTTATAGTGTTGGAAAGCAAGTGTTATTGGAAACATCTGTAATAGTAAGTGATCTGTGTGTTAAATGCGGCCTGTTACCATTTTCTTTCACAGGGGAAGTGCTCTTCAGAAAAGATTGCGTGATAGAGAAAAGGAAATGGAAGCAGATGAACGAGATAGGAAGAGAGAGAAGGAAGAGCTTGAGGAAATTAGGCAACGCCTTCTGGCAGAAGGGCATCCAGATCCAGATGCAGAGCTCCAGAGGGTGAGATATCGTAACATCCATATGATTTTGTTTTAAGATTATCGTGTCATCTTAAAGCCAGCCTATGATAATAGTTTAATTTATAGTTAAAGGAAATGTACTTTATGTTCCATAGAACTTGCTATTTTGTGGAAGGTTATTAGTATTTTTCTTTTTTTCTTTTTTTAGAGACAAGGGTCTCCCTTTGTTGCCCAGGCTGGAGTGCAATGGTGTGATCATAGCCCACTTTAACTAGAACTCCTGAGCTCAAGTCATCCTCCTCCCTGAGCTTCCCTAGTGGCTGGAACTACTGGAATACAGGCACTCGCCACCATGCCTGGCTAATTTTTTACTGTTTTTCGTAGATACAGGGTCTTACTCTTGGTCAGGTTGGTCTCAAACTCTTGAGCTCAAGTGATCCTCCCACTTCAGCCTCCCAAAGTGCTAGGATTACAGGTGTGAGCCACCATGCCCAGCCTCATATCAACTATTTTTAACCTGTTACATTCTTTTGGTTAACAGAAACCATGTCTTACATGTCCCATTTATTTTTCAAAATGAAACAATGTTACTTTTTTCTGTTGATTAAAGTAAGTACTTGGATAACTAAACAGAAAATTCAGGGAAGGTAGAAAATGATAATGACGCAATTAAAAACCATGTGTGTGGCCGGGCGCGGTGGCTCACGCCTGTAATCCTAGCTCTCTGGGAGGCCGAGGCGGGCGGATTGTTTGAGCTCAGGAGTTCGAAACCAGCCTGAGCAAGAGCGAGACCCCGTCTCTACTAAAATTAGAAAGAAATTAATTGGACAACTAAAAATATATAGAAAAAATTAGCCCGGCAGTAGTCCCAGCTACTCGGGAGGCTGAGGCAGGAGGATCACTTGAGCCCAGGAGTTTGAGGTTGCTGTGAGCTAGGATGACGCCACGGCACTCTAGTCCGGGCAACACAGTGAGACTCTGTCTCAAAAAAAACGAAAACCATGTGTGGGGTCCAGCATGGTGGCTTAAGCCTGTAATCCCAGTGCTTTGGGAGAGCTGAAATGATCCTGCCACCTTAGCCTCCTGAAGCCTTGGGATTATAGATGGCTGCCTGCACCTTACCACCCAGTTTTTAAAAACACTATTATGATGTGGCTTTTTTTCTTTCTTAATATCTTTCATCATTTCAAGGGAAGTGTTCATTTTGACTCCAGAATATCCTATTTCTTCCTTTCCTTGTTTATGAATACAAAAGTGACTACCAGCCTCTGCTATTACCTAGAAAGAACAGATGATTGTGTATGAACAAGACAAGGATATGAGTTGCCTTTTATGGATTTTCTGTATTGTAAAATGAAAATTTTGGTTGTAATTTCTTTAAGAAAAATAACTTCCCTTGTGAATTCAGACTGCTGTGTATTTATCTTTGTTATCCCTGAAGAGCCTATATAATCCACTGAAGAAATGTAATACATATAATTTTAAAAAATTAAAAATTTCCACGCCACCTAGTATACTCTATAGATTTACTTAGCTTTCCGATTATAGGAGGAAATGGTGTTCAGCTATTCTTAACCAAAAACAGAGATATTTTACAAAAAAATTATGCAGAGTAAAACAGTTGAATCGAATATAGTTGTAGTCTCTTCCAAGTTAATCAGATTGTTTTTGTGGTTTTAGATGGAACAAGAGGCTGAGAGGCGCAGACAGCCACAAATAAAGCAAGAGCCGGAATCAGAAGAAGAGCAAGAAGAAAAGCAAGAAAAAGAAGAAAAACGAGAAGAACCCATAGAAGAAGAAGAAGAGCCAGAACAAAAGCCTTGTCTCAAGCCTACTCTGAGGCCGATCAGCTCTGCCCCATCTGTTTCTTCTGCTAGTGGCAATGCAACACCCAACACTCCTGGGGATGAGTCTCCCTGTGGTATTATTATTCCTCATGAAAACTCACCAGATCAACAGCAACCTGAGGAGCATAGGCCAAAAATAGGACTAAGTCTTAAACTGGGTATGTTAGCATTTTCTTTCTTCTTATCTTTTTTCCCTCCCTGTAAATACTTATATTGTGCTTTAAGGAAAAAAATAAATGTGATGGTGCTTGGTAGGTAGATAGAAAATTACTAAAAAATGCCTTTCTAGCTCATGATTGTTTTCATAGTTCTAGTAGTGCTCCTATATCTGCAGCTGCCTCAAGTTCAAGAAGAAGTGAAAAGTTAAATTTTCTAGCACTTGTGAGTAGTGAGTTATTTTTTATAGTTGGGATCTTTCTCTGAGATTTGTGGAAGTATACTTTACACTGCTTTTGAGGGATGGTGGGATGTAAAATGTAACACTTGCAAATTAAGTCAGCATGCTAAGAGAGTGTTTTTACTATAGGTGCTTCCAATAGTCCTGGTCAGCCTAATTCTGTGAAGAGAAAGAAACTACCAGTAGATAGTGTCTTCAACAAATTTGAGGATGAAGACAGTGATGATGTACCCCGAAAAAGGAAATTGGTTCCCTTGGATTATGGTGAAGATGATAAAAATGCTGCCAAAGGCACTGTGAACACTGAAGAAAAACGCAAACACATTAAGAGTCTCATTGAGAAAATCCCTACAGCCAAACCTGAGCTCTTTGCATATCCCCTTGATTGGTCTATTGTGGATTCTGTGAGTAGGAAGTTATGTTTCATCATGTTATTGGGAGTGGTTTGAATATGCCATGTAAACTCCTTTGATTCTATTAATGACAAGTAAGTAGGGATAATCATCTTGACACCAAGTAAATGCCATGGCCATGGAGTACATGTTATTGGGCCATTTTGGGGTCGTACTTGAAGCAAAGGTTAGAAGAAAATAATCGTATCTTGATACATACTTGTCTTACTTTAACTTGTGAATGACCATAGTGTATTTTAGCCTTAAGAAAAATCATAAGGTTATAGGGTATAGACTTTAGTAAGCATAATAAAAAGCTGTAATTCTTTAATTCAGTAACTACGATTTGTTTTCCAGATACTGATGGAACGACGAATTAGACCATGGATTAATAAGAAAATCATAGAATATATAGGTGAAGAAGAAGCTACATTAGTGGATTTTGTTTGTTCTAAGGTTAGTCTTTCATTCTCTTCACTCCCAACATTTATTTTAAATTTTAAAATATTAGACACTTTCTAAAATAACAAAAAACTTGCAGGGACAAGTCCCTGATATTTTAGTTTGAATTAAGTGATTTATGGCTGCTTTAGTGAACCCTTCTAATCCACTTCAGACCCCTCTCACCACATGTTCTCATTTTCGAGGGTCAAGGGTGACAGAATTGCTAGCTACGGCCAATTGTGCTCTCTCTCCCTTCCCCTGAGAATGCTATGCCATACTTTGCTTGTCTTGGTTAGAAGAACGATGTTGAGGTTTTGTGGAGAAAGGTGATAGATAGCCTGTCTCATCAACTCCTTTGTCAGTGTCCTATCCTAGCCTTTGGACAGGAGCAAAGTAGTTTCCGTATCATAATGGTCAGTGTGTATAGACTAATTACCATATGCCAGGCTTTGTTCATAGCTGTACTGTCTTAGCATTTTACAAAACTTTATTTTCTTTAAACCTCCTAACAACCTTAGGAAGTGAAAGTTACTAATGTGTCATACCCATTTTATATGTGAAGAAATTGAGGTTTAGGGAGAGATTTTGTCTTGGTCATGGTTGTTTAGTAAGTAAGAGAGTCTAGCCTCTAAAACCCCTGTTCTTAACTACCAAAATGTATCATATCCTTCCATTGTCTTCTGAAAGCATAGTCTTCAGTAAGACAGTCACTATAGTAGAAGCAACCATATTCCTATAAAGGTATAATTGTGCTGTTTTTCCACTAGTAACTGCTCTTTTAATAATATGAAGAGCAAATTTAGGCTGACCTCTCCACTTGAAATTTTTGTAGCACTAAAACTTGTGTAAATAAGGTTTGGTTTACAGTTAAAGACAGATCATTCTATAGCAATTAAGATCCCAGGTTTTGGTGTCAAACTTTTATTATAGAGAGTGAAATGCTGAGAAGTAAAATTTATAGAAAGTTTCCTCAACCAGAAGCAATTCCTGTACCAGTATGAGAGTTTGTACCTTGAAATTTCTTGACTGTATTGCTAATTTTTTGTGTATTTTAAATGTGACAATTGTGTCTTTTAGGTTATGGCTCATAGTTCTCCTCAGAGCATTTTAGATGATGTTGCTATGGTAAGTTAGAGATTTCACTTATTAATACTAATAAATATATAACAAACTCACTTTTGAATTTCATTCATTTTCTATGTTGCTTCCAGAATCTTTCTTTTTATAGTCCTGAATTAAAATTTGAATATTCATTAAAGAGGTTAAAGGAATCCACAGCAAAATATCTGTTGTTACCTGACACATAAAATTAGGTTTATTGGCTGGGCTAGATGGCTCATGCCTGTAATCTTGGCACTTTGGGAAGCTGAGGTGGGAGAATCACTCAAGCCCAGAAGTTAAGGTTGGGTGAGAAAACAGATTAGTTGTTGGTGGCTAGTATAAAATGGAATAGTAGTAGTCCAAAGGGCAGAGTGAGAAGGTAGCAATGCAGAGTGAGTCAGGGAGGAAGAGGAAGTATTTAGCATGATACGAGATGATAGATGACTGGGAGAAATTCAATTTTTAACTGCAGCAAAGATGCGAAGGAGGGACATGGTGGGGTTTTTAGCTAAAAGGAGGAGTTCTGAAGTAAAGTTGGTTTGTGTCCAGTCACTCACTATGTAATGTCTAAAGCCAAATAATGTTCCTTTTCCGCTGCTGAGCCAACCTGATGCCGCTGTTGTTTAGAACTCCTAATAAAACATTTGTGAATAATTCATTGCTTCAGAGGAAAGGACAAATGTGAATAGGTCTCGATCTTTGGAGCTGGATTCTGAACTTTATTGAGCTGTTTTTTTCTTGGGGCAGAGAGAGAGGATATCATACTTAGGCCTGAGTGATAGAATTTTAAAAAGATTGGTGTTCTTGATTTTGGCCTCAGCAGAGTTGCAGTCACCGATTTTTTATGTCAGTGTTCATCCATTTCGATCTGTTGAAACATTTTGAGTTTAATTAGACTCAGTTGTTTTTGATTATTCGGGCTCATTCTTGTTCAGAAAGGGAAGAAATTTGAGCTAGTGTCGTCAAACAGCTGTGGTAAAAGCTCAGGGTCCCTCTGAATATTTCTTTTTTTTGAGACAGGGTCTCACTCTGTTGCCCGGGCTAGAGTGAGTGCCGTGGCGTCATCCTAGCTCACAGCAACCTCAAACTCCTGGGCTCAAGCGATCCTTCTGCCTCAGCCTCCCGAGTAGCTGGGACTACAGGCATGCGCCACCATGCCCAGCTAATTTTTTCTATATATTTTTAGTTGTCCAGATAATTTCTTTCTAGTTTTAGTAGAGACGGGGTCTCACTCTTGCTCAGGCTGGTCTTGAGCTCCTGACCTTGAGCAATCCACCCGCCTCGGCCTCCCAGAGTGCTAGGATTACAGACGTGAGCCACTGCTCCCGGCCTCGAATTAGTTCTTCAATTAGTTGGCATCATTGAGAAATTGACAGAAATTATGCATAAAATAAAAATTTTTGGCTTTTCTTGGGTACTTAATTGAGTACTTACTGTATACGAGGCACTCAGTACATATAGCTTTTAATTCCCACAGTGGTACCTAGTGTTTTGACATGGCCACATTTCCTCAATTTTACAGATAAGGGAACTGAGGCCCAGTAAGGTTAAGTAGCCAGCCAATGACATATAGCTAATAAGAGGAAGAAATGGAATTTAAACCTAAGTAGTTTGACTAGGTATCCTGTTCCTTAAATTCCTATCCTAAACTGCCTCTATGAAGATCTGGTAACATTAAGCCACGTTTTGTCGAGGCAGTGATACCCTGGAGTACAGTCATAGTTGCGTCCTTTAGAAGGGAGCAGGATAGTCCATTTTTCCTTGCAGCAGCCCTGGGGTAGAGGGCCACATTTGTATGGGATGTGGGCAGGAGTGTGGTGGTAGGAACACGAGGCACCTAACTCATTAATAGATAGGAGGATAATTTCATTTTTTTCTCTCTTCTAGGTACTTGATGAAGAAGCAGAAGTTTTTATAGTCAAAATGTGGAGATTATTGATATATGAAACAGAAGCCAAGAAAATTGGTCTTGTGAAGTAAAACTCTTTTTACATTTAGAGTTCCATTTCAGATTTCTTCTTTTCCACCCTTTAAAGGACTTTGAATTTTTCTTTGTCTTCAAAGACATTTGTGAGATCTGTAATTTTTTTTGATGTAGAAAATGTGAATTTTTTTTTGTCCTCCAATTTGTTGATGCTCTGTGTACTCCCTTGGTTGTAAAGTCATCTGAATCCTTGGTTCTCTTTATACTCACCAGGTACAAATTACTGGTATGTTTTATAAGCCACAGCTACTGTACACAGCCTATCTGATATAATCTTGTTCTGCTGATTTCTTCCTTGTAAATATTAAAATGACTCCCCAATTCTTTTGCAGAATTGCACTTAATATTGAACTGTACTGTATATGAACCAACATGGACGATTTTAATTGATAGAATACCAGTCATATCTACTACCACCTCACTCCCTTTGATTAGAAGTGGCAAGCCCTTTGTAAAGTCGTGGAATTTAAAATTAGAATGCAAAAATTAGCAGACAATCCATTCCTGTTGTATCTCTGTATGAATGTGTTTGTGTGAATGTATGTGTAAAAGTCTTTCTTTTCCCTTGTTTGCTTTGATGTGGGGTCCCTCAGACATTTCCTAATTAAAGAATAGAATCATAAAGAAAAAATCGATATTGCGCCAATCCACATTTCTGGTATGATTAGGTTATTGGTTTCCCAGAGGCATGGTATTCTGTGGTGAGCAACAGTCTGCTAACAGGATGGGGTTTCCCTATTAATAGCTGGCTTCTTCAGCTTCTGTTTTAAAGGAGTGTGGATCATAGTGATTTTCCCTTCTAATTTCATTGCTCAGAAATGAGGAACATCCTAAAATCCTGGAGAGCTTTTATTTAATGCATTTTTGCACTAATTGGTCCATAGTTTGATTTTGTTGTACCCCTTTATTAAAAAAAATCTTCATTGTAAAAGCATAAGTGAAAAACCCTTTTAAAAATAGACAAAAGATAACATCAGTCAAGTTTATAGACTAGAGTTTGACAAACACAATAGGAATTCAGCTCGGCAATTTACAAAGTTTACATCTTATTTCTAAGATAAAGTAAATCGTTCAAGGTAGTTCCCAACCACTAATTTTTTGTTTTCATTTTTTTTCTGTAGAGGGCTTTTATCGTGAGTGTGTGTGTATACTACACACTTTGTTTTACCTCTGCTCATCAAAGTGTAAAAATATACTGATGGTGTGCTTAGAGACATACCACATACCTGGGGCTTTCTTTATTATACATCAAAACTTCACCAGGGAGCAGAATTACCTGAAAATGTTAACAAGTTTTAAACAGTTCTTAAAACAAATTAGATGTAGCTGTTTCCATGTCTGAGTATTTATTTAAAAGAAAGATACAGATTGGCCTGTTAGAAAAGCATAACTGTGAGCTTGAGTTACTAGATTTTTTTTTTTTTAACACCTTGAGAGGACATTTGAAAACACTGTTCTTAACATTGAACCATGACATTGGTTCCATTATGTAAATATTTCAAGTATTAAAAATGTATATATTTGATCTTGGGGACTCATCTTCTTTCAGAGTCTTGTAAATAAATGGCATCATGTTGTAATTGTGTGGTGCATACTAGAATACTTGACAATATGGGCTGAATTTTTTATGGATTTGATTTTGACTGTTGGTATCTGAGGGTCAAAGAAGCTATTTACCTTATTTTGGATGAATCTGTACATCTATGGAAATACCTCTTTTTGGTGTTATATTTTAAGTTCTGGTTTCTCAAAGGAAAATTTCAGAAAGATGCCACTTGAAATTTATAAATTTATTGACCAGCCTTTTCTCTGATTCGCCTCCAGCCTAAGACCTTGTTTGAGCAATTTATTATATTAAGCCTCGCTGTCTTTTCTTAGCATACCACACAGGTAGTGCTTCTGAAGCATCATATTAGGTTGTTTTTATTTAGCCAAGATCAGTACGAGGGTTTATTTGGGTAAACTTAATTTCCCTTGCTGGTCTCTCCTGCCACTGTTTCAACTATACATTTCTTAAAGGACACGGCTTAAAAACTGGAAACATCACTTATCTGAAATTCATAGGCGGCATGTACCATATACTGCATAACACCTTCAGTGAGGTTTGTGGCAGGACCCCTAATTCATACAGTAATATTTCTGTAGCGAAGTGGGAACCATCACAGTAAATGGGGTAAAGACCATTCAATTAATTGTTTAATGCCAGTTCAAATTTAAGTTTTGTGACAAGATTAATGGAAAACCTTTGGATTTCCAGAGTTTCTTGTTTTTCAGAATTGCATATAAAGAATTGGATGTGTATAAATCAGCATATTCTAGTGTCTTAGGAAATACAGTTAAGAAATTTCTATTAAATGCTTGTACTTTCTGGGTTATCTTTACCTCAAGTCCATAAATCAGTTTCAGTTTGGAAACCTTACACAGTATGAATTCATATTGCCCAAAGTTGTTAGAAAAACAATATGAAAGTCTTAAGAACTATTCTTGATCTAGCAGTTAGAAAACTAAAATGACTTTTCCTTATTTGACACTAAAAATAAAATAGTTTTAAACATGTGTATCTGTTTTCAAGGAAGAAAGGTAAGTTCGAAGCAGTTTTTCTCAAACTTTAATGTACTTGAATCACCAGTGGGATCTTGTTAAAACACAGATTCTGAATGAATAAGGCTGGGGTGGGGCCTGAGGTTTTGCATTTCTGACTAGTTCCCCAGTGATGCCAGTGCCACCTGACCGAAGGACTACACTTTGATTAGCACTTTAAGGTATCTATTCAGTATCGTTTTATCCTAACAGACTATATAAATGCAACTTAATTTTAATGTTAGTTAGATTTTAAAGAGAAAAACAATTTTTGAGGCCAAAAAACACATTGTTATATTGATGAATATAAAGTGATCTTCCAAAATGATGGCTGAGAACCACCTTAATATTCTAGGCTTTATTTCCAGCCAGCCCCAGAAAATTTCCTCTGTAGAGAACTTTTTAAAAATTATTCTGAATCTTGTAGTCCTTCCCTGTAAGCTATGTAAAAGGTAATGATTATTTTGTGGAGAATGCTCTTTCAGGTATTAATGAGGCATGAATACTAGATCTGATGGAAAAATTGAGAAAACTTTTGGCTTGAGAGCCAAATTGAACTAAATACTGTATCGTTCTTTCTTTTTATATGAAGTTGAAAAATTTTTAATGCAAAGAAATACAAGGATGCAGTGTTTAGATGAGGCTTATTTACCCAACTCTTTCTAATAAGTTCTGTGAATGTCCCCAATGAATACCCAAGAAACTGCCAAAATGTTTTGTCAAATTGGTGACAGATTTCTCCGGTTTATATTTCAGCCTTTTGTTAGCAATATGAAATTGAGAAATCGTTTTGCTCAGCGAAAGATGATGAGATTGATGTGTGAATGTTACTGGAGATAAAAGGATGTGAGAAGGAATTCCCAGCAGGCAAAGAAAACAGTGTAGGTGTAAAGAAGAAACCAAGGAAACATTAAACCCGGGAGTTGTGAATATAATCATACTATAGACCAAACTTATAATTTTGATATATGAACTTACGAATTTATGATTTTTTGATAAGCTGGTAGATATTTTATAATGTAGTTATGGTAAAATATTGAAATATGTATCTTTTTATTTGAACGCTTTCATTTTCATCTTCAATAGATTGTAATTAGTAAGGAGTTCAGGAAAACCTGTTGACATATTTACAAAATACTGTATGAATTATCAGATTTGTGGAAGGGACCTTAGGGATCACCTAGTCTATTCAGCCCAACGTAATCACTACAGTGTTTCCTGCAGATGGTTATGTAGAGGCCCCTATATATGGGATTGTAATTCATGGTCTAGCTTTGCACTATCAAAAAGTAACCACCAATGACAAGTGGTTTTAAATGCATTAAAATGAAATAAAATTTAAAAGCTCAGTTCGTCAGTTGCACTAGCCATAGTTAAAGTGTTCAAAAGTCATGTGTGACTATCATAAAAAATTTAGTTTTTATGTTGCACTATTCGAATTTTAAGTGCTCAATAGCCATATCTAGCTAGTGGCTACCATATTGTACATTGCAGGTTATAGAACGTTATCATGATTGCTGAAAGTTACATTTTACAGTGCTGGTCTAGATTCTAATACAGACCTAAGGGTAGAGAAAGGTTCTTGTTAATAAAATGCCAGCATAGAATGGATTTTTAGCAAATATTTGTTGAAACAAAAATATTAAGTGTAAGTTTAAGAATAGTTCTAAAAAAAACGTTCCTGTTTTTTTAAACAAAAGCGAAATCTAGTGAGCATTTCACATTATAGAATGCTAGAACTATGAAGGTTCACTTTTTTCCTGTCAGTGTTACAGTTTTGGTAAATGTAGTGCCTAGTTGAAGAGACTTGATGGATTGCTACAGATACTAAATTTCATTTTGTTTAGTATATTATTGAGGAAAGTCTCTAAATAAGGGGGTCCAAGTTCTTGGTTGAGAAGGAAATTAGAATTAATAAAATGGTGACTGGCTGGGCACAGTGGCTCGTGCCTGTAATCCTAGCACTCTGGGAGGCCGAGAGGGGCGGATCGTTTGAGCTCAGGAGTTCGAGACCAGCCTGAGCAAGAGCGAGACCCCGTGTCTACTAAAAAAATAGGAAGAAATTAGCTGGACAACTAAAAAAATATATATAGGAAAAATTAGCCGAGCATGGTGGCGCATGCCTGTAGGCCCAGCTGCTTGGGAGGCTGAGGCAGTAGGATTCCTTGAGCCCAGGAGTTTGAGGTTGCTGTGAGCTAGGCTGATGCCACGGCACTCTAGCCAGGGCAACAGAGTGAGACTCTGTCTCAAAAAAAAAAGTGACAAACATAGAACTTAAGGCTAGAAATACAAGATTAATAAGACAAAACAGCCTTGATTTTAAGAAGGTGCTAAGGAAACCGATACTTGCGAAGAATTCAGGAACTTACAAGATTCAGGAGCTAATAATACGGTCAAGCACTGAGTCTTGATCACAGTATTTAATCTCACGTCAATTCTACTTGCCTTCTATAAGGAACATGGCAGTAACATTGTGTGTAAGTGAAGGCAAACTGTTTCTATGTGGAACTGTGAATGAATTGGATTGCCTTAGAGTCAGTGTGAAGAACTGGCCTTTCTTTTCTGATTGACCAGGTCCTGACTTTACTAGTGATTTGACCCAGCCTCTTTGGTCCCTAACTTCCCCCTCCTCCAAGGGGAGAAGTCCAGCACTCTGAATTTCCCTTCTGCTTTTTCTTTCACTATTTACCACTGGGTTTTGCCATCATTTATTTTATCATTCACCTCTCCATTCCAGTTCCCAAGTTCCAAACCCTCTGGGGACCTTCAGTGCTATTTGGTCATTCTTTTACTAGTAGCAGCTTTTGCTGTTTTTGAACCCTCGGTGCCATAGTAGGTATTGAAAAACTTTTCACAGAATGACTAAAAGTCGTCTGATTTTCCCCTTCACCTCGCAGATATCCTTCAATCTTAACAAAAACTTAACTCAAAAAAAGTTATTAGGCACATTCTGTCCAGTCTAGCTCCCCAGTTTATGGCAACATCCATGTTAAACCTCTGCTTTCTGTAAGTGAAAATAGATACTCCATGCACCCTATCCAGAAGACCTCCGTCACCCCACTGGCTCTGTTTTCTAAACCACATTCTTTGGTTTATTGACCCTTGCTCAGATATTTCCATTACCTCTTTTCTATCCTCAGTCTGGAACATGTTTTGAAGAACAACACAAAAATCTTGAGATCCTCCTTTCAACTACCCTACCAAAATTCCAGAAAGAGTATGTCATAGTATATGTGCCCTCCAAATTTCTTGAGTCTCACTCAACCTATTCTAGTTTGTACCTCATCATGCCACTGTCAACTGGTGACACCCTAAACAGGCTTTGTAAGAGACTACACTCTGATTTATCTTTTAGCACTATGGACATTTGCTGTCTGCATAGGACTTTTCCTTGATGTCTAGCATATCACTTCTGCCTTGTTCCTCTCTAGACTGTCTTTCCCATTGTCTCTTGCTGGCTCTCCCTGGGATACCTGGATGTTCATATTCATTAAAAAAATGAAGCAATGCAGAAAACTGAAGGAAAATTTATCTGGAGTCTAGTTATTCAAAGTCATTGTTTGCTTTTTTGTCTTTTTTTGGTTTCCTGTTTGCAGGAATTTTCTTTTTTTTTTTTTGGACAGTAAGTGTAAATACGACACTTTTTTTCATTTAACAATAAAAATTTCTGTTACACGTAATTTTCACGAACAATTTTAGTGATATTTTGTGAAGTGGGTGAACCATAATTTATTGTAGAACATATTTAGCCTTCCAATTTGGGCTATAACTACATGAATATCTTTGCACAAAAGTTTTGTAGAGATTGTTTCTAAGAATAGTTTACCAGCATCTTAAGACATTCTACCCATATTAGCAGACTGCAAAGATTGAACTAGTTGATAAATAGATGGGTTTTAGCCTCTATTCTTGTTCAACAAATGTATTGAATTGTTCTATGTGCTACGTGGGCACTGTTCTTAGCACTTGTAATATATAAATGAGCAAAAATCTCTACCATTGTTAAAGGGGCGGGTAGGAGAGGAATTTTTAAAATATTTTTTGTTCAACCTTTTTCCCCTCCCTCAACTTACCTTTTCCCGTTTTTTTTTTAATCTTTTTTATTTCTTTTCACCACTATACTAAGGAGGATTCCTCTGTTAATGGAAAAGATTACTTCTTAAGTATGAAATTACTTTCTGAAAAAACTATTAAAGTCGGTTTGATACTTTGGATACTTTGATACTTTGGGTTGGGAGGAGGGATTGGGGATTGATGCAGTAGGGATGTGAGGGGATATTTTGGGAAGGAATTTAAAAGAAACTTTAGAAAAATGTACCTTGGCCAGATACCATCTATCATTAATTTCATTTTTAGTTTTCTGATTACCTGTGAGTTTGAATTTCTCCATTGTAAACCTGTAGTTTTATAAGGTAGTATTCATTGTTTACTTTTAACTTTCAGATGAACGTAAGAGTGCTGTGTTGCTTAATGGGTTAGTTGATACTGTCTTCACGGAAACTGGACGAAAAGCTGGCGGATGCAAAAAAATCAAATGACCGAGCAACCAACTATGTATGAACCAGATGTTAGGCTTGGGGATAACAAAAATAAGACATGTTTTCTGCTCTCATCTAGCTTACATCTACGAAGACTGGTTCTCAAGCTTGGACCCCAAAAATCTTGGAGGATGTTTGTTTAAAGTGAAGTTTCTCTGGTTCTCCCCACCCACCGGAAGTTTTGATTGGGAGAGGCACGGATATGTACAATTTTAATTAGCATCCTCTTGATTGTGACGCCCCTAGTTCGCATTTGGAGAAACTATACAAATACTACAAGTACTACAGAGAAATGAAAGAAGTTAGATTAAGATCTATTGCTCGTAGGCCGGAGAAACGCACGGGGACCAGTTCCTCAGCTCAAGAGCAGTCCCGGATCCCTGACGACCCACGCTTGCAGTGGAGGCACATTCCTCCAGGTGCAGGAGGCCAGCTGGAGCGCCGGATTTCCCCCGCAATCCTCGCGCACTGCCGGAAGCTCGGCCCAGGGTGGCCCGGCCGCCAACGGCGCCAGAGCCGGAAATGACGACACTGGTGAGGGCTTTCGGGCGTGGCCTAGGACGGGCAGCTCCGGGGGCAGCGATTTCACATCGGAAACAAAACAGCGGCTGGTCTGGAAGTAATCTGGTTTGCGAGCGAGTAGCGGCTGCGGCGACGGGAAAAGAGTACGTGCGTGATGGGGAGTCCGGGGAGAAAGTAAAGCACCGCGGACACGGGATACCGCGGGCAGCCCCCGGCCCTTTGTCGCTGCCCGGGCCGCGGAACCGGTGTCCTCGAGGGTGAGGGGCGGGGCGCGGCCGGTTTGGGACGGAGGGACCCCGCATGGGAAACCAGGAGGGGCGGCCTGCTTCTCGGGCTCCGGGCGCGTCGCGCGGTAAGGTTGAAGAGAGATTCCCTTCGCGCTTTGGTACGGAAATGCTTTTTTCCCGAAGACATCTCCAGGCGCAGGTGCCTTGGGCCGGGATTGAACGTCTTGAGTGGAGCAGGAGAAAGAGGAAGCTCCTTGGGCTGGGTCGGCTTGAGCAACCGGTCAAACTCTGTGCCTCACGCCCGAAGTGTGTCCTTGTGCAGAAGCGAGTGGCACTCAGGGCTAGGTTCCTCATGTCTTACGTTCGAGGCGGAAAACAGGGTCTGTCACGAGGCGTGCATGTCCAGTGCTTTACATGTGTTTGCTTTTTCTTACCTCTTAGATTCTTTTCAAGTGTGTGGCACTGTTATGGTCAGAGCTGTGCTTTGGGCACATTAATCTGGTAGTAGAGGCTGGGATGGTGAGAGAATTGAGGTGACTTTTGCATAATTCAGGTGAGATATAATGAGAGAGTTCGGTCTGCGATGGTGGCAGAGGTTTAGAAAAAAGAAACATAAACAGGACATGGCAACCAGTTGAGGAGCAAGGAATAAAGTGTGAAGTTGACTAGGAGGTTTTAGGTTTAGAGAGTGGGAGGGACGTTCTCAGAAATAAGGAAATTAGGAGGAGAGAACCAGAGAGGAAGACAAGGAAGTGGTTTGAGAGTATTACTTTTGAAGTATCAGCAGTTGAAAATGTCCTATGGGCAGGACTGGAGCTGTAAATTTTGTCACTTAAATAGATTTACCAGTTGATGTTGGAGCAGTGGAGGAGATGTCTAAATGAAAAGGACAGACACTACTTAGGAGCACTTATAATGAGGGGGTGGAAGAAGGGAGAGGAGCCAGCTGAGGAGAATGAGTGTGGTGGGAGGAGAACCACCATAGTGCAGTGTCACGAAAGCTGAGGAAGGGAGGAAGCTTCAGGAAGGAAAAGATTGTCAGGGATTTTGAATATTAGACCTGGTGTAGCAGAAAGAACTGAAGATTTAGAGCAGCACTCTCCAGTACAAATATACTGTACATAAATGTTAATTTCAGATTTTTTAATAAACATTTTTTCTTTTTTTAGCTCAAACACAAGTGTCTGAATTTTTCTTCTTTTTCTTCTTTTAGCCCAAATACAAGTAATAAACATTTTTTAAAGGTGAAAAGAAACAGGTGAAATTAATTTGAATATATTTTAATAATATATTTATTTTAACGCAATATACTTGACAGTTTTATTTCAATATTTAGTCAATATAAAAATTTGTTTGTCTTCCCCCATAGATAGTAAGCTCCTTAAAAACAGAAGCAATATCTGATTTAATAGTATCCCTAGTACCCATCACAATGTCTGGTTATGTAGAAGAAACCCAGTAAGTGTTTGTTGATTAAGGGGTATTAATGTTTCCTTTTCACAATGCCTTTGTACAGTTCCTTGTTAAAGTTGATTCAAAGCAAAAGAAAGAATGCAGGCAATGCTAAATATAACCAGTGATTTATAAATTAATTAGATGTAAGTAATCATTTTTTCATTAAAAATTAGTTGTGTTCTGTCCATTTCCGTAGAGAAATTGAGACAATGGGAAAGATTTTTTTAATAATTATGCAGAGGTTGACTGCAGTCCCATATACACAATCCTGAAATCCAGAAACTCATGAAAACCAAAAGTTTTTTTGTAACTAATTTGACAGCAAAATCTGACCTGTACCTAGTTGTAGTCTTTTTTAATGTAATTGAAAACAATTCATATTTTTCACTATAGACTGAATAATGTATTTGATTTTGTGGTTCTAACTAAGATCCTGTGGGGGCATTATACAACATAAGGTATTTCCATCATATTACCTTTACAAAATCCAAAAAATTCTCAATTCTAAACACATTTAGTCCTAATGGTTTCAGATAAGGGATTCTGGACTTGTAATTATAAGTCTTTGTTCATTTTTATTGCATCTTCTGAGCCAACATAACCATTCTTTAAAAACAAGTTGCTATAGTAACTCTACATTTACAGACCTTACCCAAACTTAGAGTCTTAGAACATTTATTCTCATGCAAGATTTTATGTCAAGGTGTAGATCAGAGAGGACAATTCTTATCTGCAAGTCTTATTCTGGAGTAGTGGCTACTCAAGGTAAGCTCTTCTCAGCAGAAGTGCAAGAAGACAAGGCCAGTTGCACAAGCATAGTTCAAATGTCTTCTTCTGCCACATCTGTTGCGATCAAGTTTATCAAAGCAAGTCATATGATCATGTCAGAAGACTTGGGGGTGAGTAGACTGCACCCATTCTGAGGCTAAAGCAAGTCACAAAGCCAAGCCCGACATCACTGTAGAGAAATACATTCCTCCCTTGGGGAGGCTGGGGGAGGGAGTGAATATTTGCTGAATAATAATTTAATCTACCACAGATGGTTCACAGAGGTGGAGTGGGATGGAAGGAGGAGAAAAGAAATCAAATAGAATGTATCACTAACCTTGCTCTTTTTAGTGTCTACCGCTTTCACAAAGGGTTAGGGAAATGATTTTGTGCTAGTCTCTTAAAAATGAGAGGAGTGTTTTCAGGATGTATTCCTAAAGTTTTAAATTAATTTTAAATTATTTTTTTAGTTTCAATTAATGAATGTAGTTTAGAGTTTGGTTGCATTCACTGTTGGATGTGAACATTTAATAACTCAAGTAGAGGCTTTTCTAGCCCATCCATACAATCAGAACTTGGGCTGCCTGTTGAGGGAGAAATTGTCAAAGTAACACCAAGGCTGGTTAAATACTTTTGCAGAAAATGATTAAATCACAAGCTCTTTTGCACTTCAGAACTTCTTAACGTTGTAGTGCAGATGCAGCAAAAAATACTGTTAGCGTTTTTGTAAGTGAAAGAGTAACAAGTCAAGTGGCTTAGAGATGTTAAAGCAAGCCACAAGCCCTCTGTGCTAGAGATCATGATTACGTCTTATGAAGATGTTTTTCTGGAGTGCAAATTTTGTTTACATATTATCTCTGAGAGTGAAAAAAGAAAATTATCAATAAAATAAAGTAACTACATTCTCTAGGAGTTTGAGGTTTAGTTGTTACCTTAGGATATAGTGAGAGAAAAGAATGTGCTTTTCTGTTGGCCCTTGAACGGGATTTTTAATAAATTTGAAATTCTAAGCATTGCTCCTGTGATACTTTTTGAAGTGCCAATGGGTAGAAGATTTTCTGGTTAGACAGACTTTTCTGTCTAAGCTTGGAGATTATGTGTAGTTCTCCTGGGGCTTTTTCTGTCTGTTTGTATATAATAGAAAAAAGTTCTAATTGCCCATCAGAGAAGGATCTCCTTTTCCTTTTGTCTGATTGAGCAAGTGTCTTGAGAGAAGGAAATGACAGCAGTGAATTCATGTGTTGTGCTCTGTCAGTCTTCAGCAGGTTGCCAGAGAGCAGAAACACCAAAGTCAATTCTGTCCCTACTCCCACTCCCTCTGCAATCCAGGTCACATGAAAGAGCCTTACTTTGGAGTAACTATCTTTTTGTGTTCACAGGGCTCAGCTAAGAATGTTATAAAGTCTACTAGTGTCTTTTGCCACGCTGCTTGAACAGTGGGGTCATTGACCTTCTCCATGCAATCATCGATTGTTTTCAGCTGTTACTGGACTAAAATCAAATTGAGCTTTGCCTGCCCCTTTGTTTGTACCAACAGCGTTTGTTTGTTCACCAGGCCTAACTGAGACCTAGCCCTGTTGCCTGCTTCTGCTTCCTACTGAGCTCCATGTAAAGAGCAGCTCTTCTAGGGAGGCTCACCCTGTAGCACTGTGATCTTCAGAGCATCAAGGGAGGCATGAGATTTCTCTGGGCGAACTGGAAAAGACCTGGGCTGGGCATCAGAAGACCTGAGTTCTGGAAACAGCATTCCAGAACCATAACTGCATAGGCACATTCCTTCAGCTTTCCTGAGGTTTTTTACTTGTTAATACGGATTCCTTTCTTCATGAGGGTTTTTTGTTTGTTTTTTGTTTTTTTAAAGAATCTAATGGAATAATGGATGTGAAAAGAACTTCGAAGATAGGATTGGGATATGCTAAAATGACCACTATATTATTGATGATTCTTACAGGATTTGTCTGAGAAAGCTCCAATGTAGTAATCAGCTTGTATGGTTTCATGTCATAGCTGAACAGATCCTGTGAGCATAAGGATAAAAATGGAAACTACTTAAATTAAAATGACCAGATTCTCATTATAGCTTATACTTTAAAAATAAATATGTACATGCATACATGCTAGGAGTGTATATTGGAAATGCTTTTGGCACTTCAGTTTTCAATTTACAGTTAGACCAGTTATTGAAGTTTAAGATCTCAGCAATAGTTTTACTAGTAATAAAAATCAGCTCAATGTACCTTAATCCTCATTGCTATAAACTGCTAGAGAGCAAGGATAGAATTTTATACAGAGGTAATGTAGTGTAATATGTGAATTCCAACTCCGTGCTTGCCAGATGTGACCTTAGCTAAGTTAGTTAACTTTTGGGTGTCACATCGTTTCATCTGTAAAGTGGGTAAAGTGAACATAATAAATTATTAAATCCCCTAAGTTTCTGTCTCTGAGTTTTACATGTAAGTCGACAGTGTCTCTCTTATTTAGTGAATGGATAATCACTTTTCTTATTATTTAGTATTATTTTATTTTTGCTAAATTTATAGTGTAAGATTATACTGATCTTATTTCATGCATGAATAATTCTCATATTTTACCTGTAAATGTAATACACTTTATTTACTTACCTCCTATTTATTTTTGCCAGCATTGCCCTTTCTTGCCTTTTGTTTCATTTGGCTAATACCATCTTGTTTACTTGTTTTGTTTCCGAGGGATCATATGAGAATATTAATAAGATTTCTAAGGGTTTTTCTGTACTAGAGTATACTTTAAATGATAGGAATGGTTTTCAGAGCAGCCAGTAGAGGAACTGATAGGAACTTTTTCTATTTGATATCTTGTGGCATTTCTGGGTTAGCTAACGTAGGTGCTGTACTAAATGCTTTTGTGGAAAGAAAGGGCTACATATGTACTCTGTTTACTCATCAGTAATGCTACACTATTAAAATTTCAACTAGTCAGCTTTTAAAAATTTAGAAGCTTAGGTCAAAACATTTACTTTGAATACTTATTGTACTTCAAAAATAAAACTATTCTATTGGAGTCCATTGTCTTTTGGGTATGCTAATATACATACTCTTATGATGTAGTTGCATCCCAGTAAACCCATTGTAAGTAAGTTGAAAATGCATTTAATACATCTAACCTACCAAACATCATAGCTTGGCCTAGCCTACCTTAAACACGCTCAGAACACTTACGTTAGTCTACATTTGGGCAAAATCATCTAGTACAAAGCTTACTGTATAATAAATGTTGAATATCACATGTAATTTATTGAATACTGAAAGTGGAAAACAATGTGTATTTGGATAATCAAAGTACAGTTTCTACTGAGTGCATATTGCTTTTGCATCATAGTAAATCCAGAAAATCCTAAATCAAACTGCTGTCAGGGACAATCTGTATTGCCAAATCTTAATTTTATCCATATTAAAAGACAGGACCAAAGGTATGAATAATCCTAAATATAGATTTATTCCTACAGAAATTTATTTGAATTTTTAAATTGAAGTATAATATGGTAACATGCACAGATCATAAGACTACAGCTCAGTAAATTTTCACAAACTGAATCCCCATTGTAACTAGCACCCGGATTAAGAAACAGAATATTATTGATAACCCCAGCTTTCCATGTCCCTTCTTTCAGTGAGTAAGCCCTGCAAAGAGTAACCATTGTCTCTATTTGTATTCTTCTTTTTTTTTTGAGACAGAATCTCACTCTGTTGCCTGGGCTAGAGTGCCATGGCGTCAGCCTAGCTCACAGCAACCTCAAACTGCTGGGCTCAAGTGATCCTCCTGCCTCAGCCTCCCAGGTAGCTGGGACTACAGCCACGCGCCACCATGCCCGGCTAATTTTTTTTCTATTTTTAGTTGTTTGGCCAATTTCTTTCTATTTTTGGTAGAAACGGGGTCTTGCTCTTGCTCAGGCTGGTCTTGAACTCCTGAGCTCAAGCAATCCTCCCGCCTCAACCTCCCAGAGTGCTGGGATTATGGGTGTTAGCCACCGCGCCCGGCTTTCTATTTGTATTCTTAATTCACTTTATTTTTTTTTTTAACGAATTTACATTGTGTCTTTAGTTCATATTGATTTGTAATTCCCTGATCCCATGCCAGCTGACTATGGGCTGACAGTGAGGGGAGGAGAAAGATGGACATGGTATATAAAAGGGTGTAGGATAGCATGGAAAGCCTACCTTGGTTAAAAATTTGTCATGATTTGAATGATCCCAATGTAGGTAGTTAAGGGTTAATGTGAACTTGGTACCTTTACTAGAGGAAAAAATTGCTTTATGCATTTTTGATGAAAAGTCATTAGAAGAAAAAAAAGGAATATTTAGAGGATAGAGGATCCTGAAGTGTTAAAAGTTGGAAATGAAACAGGACATAGACAAAATGCTTTTTTATGTAAACTTGTATGAAATAAATGTTTTAGATACTATATATTAATTGGAATACTGCTTGGATATGTACACAGATTTTTCCCTTCTATGTTTCTGAAGACTCTATGAAAAGGAAAAGTTGGAATCATCAAGAATTGGCTGATGGAGGCTGGATGTGGTGGTTCATGCCTATAATCCCAGCACTTTGGGAGGCTGAGGCGTGAGGATCACATGAAGCTAGGAATTTGAGACCAGACTGGACAACATAGTGAGACCCCATCTCTAAAAAAAATTAGCTGGGCATGGTGGCACATGTCTGTAGTTCTAGCTACACAGGAGGCTAAGGCAGGAGGATCACTGAGCCCAGGAGTTTGAGGCTGTAGTGAGCTATGATCATGCCACTACACTCCAGCTTGGGCAGCAGCATGAGACCTTGTCTCCAAAAAAATAAAAAGAATTGGTTGATGGAAATTAAGATAGGCAAATGGGAATGTGGCCCCCCAGGAGGTGAACTCTGAAAGATATAGCCATAGAACCATGTCTGTAAAAAAAAAAAAAAAAGGCAATGCCAGGACACAGAGGAGAAACCTGAAGCTGGGAGTTGGGAGTCAAGAATCTGCGATTCTTGTCCTCATCTGCCTTAATTGTGTGGTCTTAAGCAAGTCACTGAACTTCTCTGGGTCCCCTTCTGCTTTTGTAAAATAGGTATGTTACCTATTCGCCTTGCTTTGAGGTATTGTGATAAGGATAAGATGAGATGGTAGAAAGAATTTTACAAAATTAAAAGCACTAAACCAAATACTTTCATGGAGATGCGAAAATCAGGTTAGACTGGTCAGCATAGAAATAGGAATGTTAAGAACATTCCTTAAGATCATTCAGCTCTCTTTGCTCTACATCTGAAATTGCTCTACATCTTTGTGATTGAAACTATTTGGTGTCTCAAGTGGATCTACTCATTGCTAAAGAGTTACTGTGAGCTGACAATAACTTTGTCATTTAGTTGAAGGTCATGGCAAATTCATATATTCTGGTTTACAAACTGGTCTTTTAAGTACTTGATTGGTGTGGATGAATTTGCTAAGATTTAACCAACAATGAATGACCTGGTAAAATCCTATTTCAGACCTAATCCAGGAGCCTACAAGTGACAGCAGCCCTCGAGGTCCTTAGATAGCTTGGCCTGGAGGAGAACACATGAAAGAAAGGTTTGTTTCTGCTGAGTGTAATTTATGAAAATGTTTAGAAATAAAAGTGTAATAATGTACAAAGTTCTGTTTTCTTTTTCCCTTTTCAGACCCCCAAGAGGCTTTGTTTTCTGTGAAAAAATATTTCTATACGGTTGCTCCAATGACAGAATTACCTGCACCCTTGTCTTACTTCCAGAATGCACAGATGTCCGAGGATAACCACCTGAGCAATACTGTACGTAGCCAGGTACCGTGTCAGCCTCTAAAACTGCCCTTGCCAGACTGTCAGTTGTCATCCTCCTTCACCTCCAAGAGATGCTCAGGGGGCTGAGTAGGCTTTCTCTACTTTACCTAATTTATATATTTGTTCAACTTCAACTGAGTACTGGGGGACACAAGGCTATTTAAGACATGAGTGTTCCATCTTGGATAGACACAAAGAGAAGATAATGAAAAGATAAAATAAACAATTAAAAAATAAATAGAAAACCAAAAGACATGAGTGTTGATATAGTTCCTATGTGGCTCAGGTATCACCCCGTCAATGAAGCCTTCTCCAACTTCCTGAAGTGTATAGCACCTCATAGTTCACATTGTTTATTCTTTTATTTGTCTTGCTCTTTCTCTTCTACAGGCTGAGTACATTTTATTCTTTTCAATACCTAGCACAGTTCCTGACAGTGCTCAGTAAATGTTCATTGACAGGATGATTGCACAACGTAGAGGTTCTAAGAGTTCAAAGGAGGGAATCAGGAAGGAGTATAATCTGTGCCGTGGGGCAAAGAGATTGTTCAGCAGCTACACACACAGACATCAAATGTGCCTACAACTCTATTAGCTGATCATTACATATTGGGTGCAGACTTCACAAATGTCCTGTGAGATGACTGGAGAATCAGTAGGATTTTTAGAGGTGGAGCCAGAATGGGGAAAACACAAGGCCAACTATAAGCTGTGCAGGTGGCACTAGGGCGTGGAGGAGTTGGACTTTACTCTGTTGGGACCAGAGGGTGGAGCTAGGAACAGTGATGAAAGTTACCAGGAAACAGGTTCTGGATCAGTAAAAAGAATTTTCTCACAATTACAGTATGTCTGAAAGACCATGTGCTGCCTTACAGACTAGTGTGTACTTATCACTAAAAGCAGTCACAGAAGGCTGGAAAACCATTAGCCAGATCTGCAGAGGATTAGTCTGTTGGAATGGGCAGTTGGAATATAGCACTCAATGGCCTGGAAGTTCCCTTTACACATTGAAGATTTAGGATTCTCACTCTTATTGTCTGTAAAATGAGGTGATTTACTAGATAATCTCAAAATTCTCTTCCCAACTCAAAAGTTTTGATGTGACTAGAAGTTGGAGTGGCCAGCTGCTCTGGTTTGCCTGATACTAGAGATTCTGAAACACAGGACTGTTCTAAAACTGGGACAGTTCTGAGCAAATGGGATTGAGTTGGTTACCCTGCCAGAAGTACAATGAAATTGAAATCATTTTGGATTTGAGTCTTATTCAATTAGTTGACTTTCTTGTGTGATTTCAAGTATCTTTACGGTTGTATATTGTTAATATTCCAGTAGAAGATAATATCTAAAGCGTTTCTCTTATTCCAGAGGTCAAAGGTTGACCTTAGCTTCATTTCTTCAACTCTCAGCAGAAACAGTGATGGGTTCCTATATATCACCTGGAGAATAGGTTTTCATTTTGTGGGCTGCTACATGTAATCTCATTCACAGAAAAGGGATTTGAAGTTTGATAAGAGTAGTCAGAGAGCTAAAAATAGTGTTTGTTTTTTTAAACTAAATATTTATTTCTCAAATTTTGGTTGTGTAATGTTTCAAGTGTATACAGAAAAGTATGGCAAATAATATAAGCACCAATGTACCTACCACCCAACTTTATTAAACTTTAATATCTTGTCTTACTTGCTCTGTATACCTTGTTGTTTTTGAAGATTATTTTCACTAAACTTTTTCTATTTTTATTTATTGATGCTACACTAAATGAAATCCTAATTAAACAAAATTTTGCATTTAATTTGAAAAGAGAGACTAATTATATGACAACAAAAAAATTGCAATTAAAATTGAAGTGCCCCTCCCCCATTCCTGTTCCTCTTTTCCCAGGATAGTTACTATCCTGGTGGTTACCATGCTTACTATAAATATTTCTGTACATAAATATGAGGTTATATAATAGTACTTCACATGTTTTTAAACTTTATATTAAAAAAGCGTGTGTATGTATCTTCTATAGAAGATAGTTCCCACATTTTTGAAATTTATATGTGTAGGTATATATTGTAGAAGAGACATCCCCATGTTTTTGGAATTTATGTATCTATAGATGCATGTAGTTCTAGTGTATTCATTTTTTTCTTCTTTCGTGAATATATAAAAATTATATATTCTGTTCACAAATTCTTGGTAATTTCCAGTTTTTCAAAATAACCAAGAGTGCTGTAATGACATTCTGATTCCTTAATCTTAGTGCAGTTATGTGAGTTTCTCAAAGATAGTTGCTGCGATTGGGTATGTGGATCTTAAACTATGTTAGAGACTGCCATGATGCTTGCCGAAGTGGTTATACATCAAGAGTGTATTGCGTACTGGGTGAGGTGGCTCATGCCTGTAATCCTAGCACTCTTGGGAGGTGGAGGTGGGAGGATCGTTTGAGGTCTGGAGATGAAGACCAGCCTGACCCTGTGTTTACTAAAAATAGAAAAAATTAGCTGGGTGTGGTGTTGTGCTCCTGGAGTCCCAGCTATTCAGGAGGCTGAGGCAGGAGGATCACTTGAGCCCAGGAGTTTGAGCTGGGTGTAAGCTAGGCTGACGCCATGGTGCTCTAGCCCAGGCAACAGAACAAGATTCTGTGTCAAAAAAAACAAACAACAAAACCCCCGCCCCAAAAACCAGTGTATTGCAGTGTCTGTTCTTTAATATCCTTGCCAGTTCTTGGTGTTATCTGACTTACTATGTATCAATCTGATGGGCTTAAAATGTATCTCCTATTATTTTAATTGTATTTCCCTAATTGCTAATAAGATTGAACTTTCTTCCTACCCTTACTGGCCATTTGTATTTTTTATGAATTGCCTATTTGTGTTCTTTGCCCATTTTTCTATTGGTTGTTTGTCTTTTTCTTACTGATTTTATACAAATATAGTATATATTTTAGGGGGCTGGCTATATGCTTTTCAAATATTTTCTCCCAGTCTGTAGCTCTAGTTCGTTTATGGTGTATAGTTTAAATATTTTAAATAAGTGAATTATTCTTTCCTTTTAAAAATTAAATTTATTTGTGTTTTTCCAATTAAAAATAGTTTAAGAAAAATATGCAGTATAGATTGGCAGCACTGAATATGAAGAAAGCTTTCCATAGCTTATGTAGACTGAATGTAGACTGAGATAAACTACGATAGTAGCAACTGCTGTGTAGCGAGCCAATGTTCAGCTCTCCATCTTTGTCTTACATCTATACCAGAAAAATAAGAAAAGAAAAATATGGGTGATCTTGGTGATTTTTCCCTTTTATTTTCCAAATGTTTCATAATACAGTTGTCCTATAATTTTAACAAAAATTATTTTGAAAAAGTGAGGTATTTTTTAAATATGAGGAAAAGTCACACAGGTACAGTACGGGAATCTACCTATGGAATCTACGGAAAGCAGGCAAGCATTTAAGGTTTTCTATGATGACTGACTAAAATAGTAGGGGTTAGAACAGCTGATATAAAAGAAGTCAAAGAAGGCTGATAGCATGGGGCCTTTGAGAGCACCCTCATTGGCAACTGAAGTTTGTGTTATGCCCTCTTCATCAGTGAAAGCTTCAGTATGTCTGTTAGTCTTCATTTTAAAAGACTGAAATGTTTACAATGATTCATGGAAATTTTTCATTAAAAATTATTAATTTTATACTTACCCAAGTTTGATTATCTGGAAAACTAATCTGCATAAAACATCTTAATTTCTGCCAGTGACAGATGAGAGATGTGGTTGCATTGGCCTCATCTTTTCACTTTTTGGAATTTCCTACTTTTTGATGCTCATTGATTCCATCTAGGTTGTAAATTCCCTGAAGGCAGCACTTTGTTCATGTTTCTGAGCTGCTTTTAGAGTTTATTGGTTACCAAGTATCTCTAAACCAGCTCAATACAAATCTTCCAGCAAAAGAACAAAGGAGTTTTGGGTTTTTTCCTCATGTTAGCAAGGGAAATTTTAGGTTTTATATCTGCAAATAAAAGTCTGAAGTGAATCACATCACTTGCCTAAGGACATCAGCTTCCATGTGAGTGTCTCTGGGCCCCCTGTTCCCTGGGCACTTCCTTAGCCATCTTACGCCACTGCTCTTGCTGCCATGTTACATGTGCACTGCTTTCACCATGTGGAGCAAAGCTATAGTTTTTATGTAGAACAACTGCCAAATGACAGCTTGACATGTCATAAGAGTCAGATGGAGAATCCATTTTATTATATTTTTCCTCAGGAACATGTGTTCTGCTTCTGTAGAGATGTCATTCAGTTCAAGATTTTACTGGTTTCCATTCATTTACCCTCTACCTCTAACTAGAAGCTGGTATAGACTTCATTTTTGTTTTTGCTGTTGGTTGGCTATATCTGTGGACTGCAGTCCCCAACCCCTAGGCCGTGGATGGGTACTAGTCTGTGGCCTGTTAGGAACTGGGCCCCACGGCAGGAAGTGAGTGGCGGGCAAGCAGGTGAAGCTTCATCTGTATTTACAGCTGCTCCTGGTCACTCTCATTGCCACCTCAGCTTTGCCTCCTGTCAGATCACTCACTGTCTCCCATTACCCCCAGATGGGACCATCTAGTTTCAGGGAAACAAGCTCAGGGTTCCCACTGATTCTGCATTATGGCAAGTTGTATAATTATTTTATTATATATTACAACATCATAATAATAGAAGTAAAGTGCACAACAAGGGTAATGCAATTGAATCATCCTGAAACCATCCCTCCCCCCACCCACACACCCCTACCCCTGTCCATGGAAAAATTGTCTTCCATGAAACTAGTCCCTGGTGCCAAAAATGTTGGGGACGGCTGTCTATAGGGACTGGATACCAGAAGGTAGACTAATGATTCTGAAAAAAGGCAAAGTTTATAAGTTGTGAAATAACTGAATTTCTTTGTTTCCTAACTATATCATGTAGATTGGATATTTAAGTAGCTCTAACAAGAATATTGGGTATTTTTCTATAATTTGTGATCTATCATAATCCTTTGATTTACTT